TTCTCTATCTTGTACAGACTTAAAAGAAAAAAATGATTTAGAATGCTCATTGTAGAAATTTTAGAGATTACTGCACAGGGAAATAAAAGGAGAAAACAAATCACTCAATTTCACTATAGACAGATAATCTATAAAAATTAAATCAAATTATAATACTATTTGTTAGAATGGTGACTTCTCTGGAGCAAGAGTAAATGAACTCAAGTCATGGCTCCACCTCTTGCTAGCTGAGTGACTAAGACAAATTATTTCTTTGTACCTCTATCTTCTTGTTAGGAAATAGACATTAGAATAGTACCTGCCTCATAAACTTTTGTTGTATGCAAAAAATAAAGTAACATGTAAAGCACTTAGAAGATTTTTGACATATGGCAATTATTCCATAAATATTAGTTGCTATTTATGATACTTACTAAATAGCCTTACAGAATAAGATTCATTTGTTCTTGCCCAATTGACAAATTATTTATATTGAACCAATTAGTAAGATGTTATATGCAAAGGAAAAAAACAAGGGACAAGTCTGTGTTGTTAAAGCTTAATTCAGTGATCCAGGGTAGATGTCACATCATAGGCACTATAGTTTAAATATTCACTAGAGGTCCGGTGCACGAATTCGTGCACAGGTGGGGTCTGGCCAGCCTGCCCCGATCAGGGCCAGCCGGGCTGGCCTCAGGGAGGGGACGCAGGAGGTTGGCCAGCCAGCCTGCCCCTGATCGGGGTGGGGGTGGGGGTTGATTGGGGGCAGAACCGGCTGCGGGGAGGAGCCTCGGGCCATTGGCCAGCATGCCCCCTGGTCAAAGTCCTGGACAAACTCTGGGTCGAGGGGACAATTTGCATATTAGCTTTTTATTATATAGGATGTAATAGTGGAATAAAGATAGGATTTGGAATATCATAAGGTTTATACTTTAGAGCTTACCTAGTTCCAACTCAACTCATCTAAAATGTTCCTCTCAAGTGAAATAAGATTTTCTGAAGACTTCAGAAAAAGCACTTATATTAGCATTTCAAAGGAATGAACCCAAAACTCTATTCCATATATTTTAATGCACCACAGAGAGAGAAACTCCCATCTTCTAGAGGGCCATGCTTAACGAAGCCGGTTCGCCTTCTATCGATATATCTTTGTCATCCATAACCATGCAGTCAAACACTGATTTAGTTAGCTCCTTTATTCCCCAATTATCTCCTTGCTGATATTACATTTCTCTGTGATATCTGGGGTTAGTCTTTTATGTTCTTGCTGTCTGTGATAATGGCTTTGAATCCCACTTAGGGGGCAAAGGAGTGGAGTTATGGCCACTTCTGTTCCCTCCCACTCTCGTAATTCTATAGAGCGTTTGCCACTCAAGTTCTATAATTGAGACCCTTAAATCAGACAAATAGCACTGCCCATGAAGGGTAGAGGACGTTTCAGGTTTTCTTTTTGACTTAATAGAGAAAGATTAAACTATACGGAAACATCAAATACATAATCTCTTGAGGGTGGGGTAAATATATTTTTCTACTTGATTATGTTTGTGTTTCTTACACTGGAAGATGCCTTGAATGAATTCCGCTCTATCTTTCATAGATAGAGCAAGTTTGGTGTCCTTGCTCAAAAAAAAAAAGTTTTTCTCTTTAGGATTTTTGAAAATGATTGTTGATTGAATGATTAGAATGGTGCCCTGGTTACTTGTTTATCCCATCTTACTTTCAGATTATTTTGATAATTTTGTATGGATTAATGTTTGCTGGCATCCTTTGGGTGACATTAAATACTTTAATCATTATATCCTCTGTCATTTTCTCTAAATGAGCTAAAGTGATTAACTGAAGAATGTGTTTGATGGAGGAGAATCAAACTCTTAAGTAATTAAACTTATTTGCATGCTGTCTATTCTTGGTGTATTATCCATAGCGACAGTGAAACATTGCATGAGTGTTATGAGCAGCATCATGAAAGTCCTTATACTTTGCCTTTCATCTTAGGTGATTAAGGTTGTTTGGGAGGGAGGTCATACCAAGGAGAGTTGGGATATCAAGGACTGGGGTATCATCTGTTTTATTATGCCATATTTTACTCCCAGTGAACTGGTAAACAATTAAAATTCAAACACATCAGTGCATATAATTCAGTTACTCCCCAAACACCATCAGAATGTCTCCCCGATCAACAATTGCTTATTATGACATGCATTTGTTGTGCTGGCTGTCAAGGTGTTTAGCCATTAGCTTTCTAAATATGTGGAAAGCAAGCCAGGCTTGCCAGCCCATGCAGTTACAAAGAGCAGTCCAGCTGCAGGTATCACTGAGCCACTCTCTTGACCTGTGACTAGTATGTGCAGACTCCTTGTCTCCTCAAAGCTACACCCGCGAAAGCCCACTTCAAAGGCCACGGCTTTCACAAAGCCTTCCCTTCTCTGCAATTTCAAAGCATGTTTGTATTTTCTCTTAGAACAGTAGTTCTCAACCTTCCTAATGCTGCAACCCTTT